GTAATGCAATTAGCCGATTAAATGCAACGTACGGGTCGCTGGTTGTCTGGTAAATACGGTAGCGGCCGGTGATCACAGTGCGTGCGGTGCGTACCGGTGCGTGCAGACAAGCCGATTAGTAACGAATTAATGCGGTCGTACCGAATTAATGCAATTAGACACGTTCATTGGCGTAAATACCGGGTCGTCGGTCATGCAGGTGTCACCAGGTCGTCCGGCGTCGCGGGTGTCCTGGTCATCCGGTGCGCAATAATGCGGCGGTCGTCGGTCATTACAGGTAATGCAAATTAAATGCACCGCCATCCGGTGAACCGCAGTGCATGCGCAATGCAATTAATGCAATTAAATGCAATTAGTCGCGGTAAATATACGAATTAAGTAAATTAATGCAATTAAACCACCGACCACCGAACAAGCCGGTCGTCGCGCCGTCGGTAATTAAATGCGGCGAATAAATGCAATTAAATAACAATTATTTTACGATTAAATACCAGTGCGTCGATAAATAAAGTGATGCAATTAAATACGCCCGTAAATCGCGGGTCGTCCGATTAATGCAGTCGTCAAAATTAAATTAAATGCGGTGTTATGGTCGTCCGGTCATCCTGGTCATTACGAATTAAATACCAGTTGTCTGTTAAGCCGGTCGTTTCCTGTGCATAAAATGCAGGTAAATGCAATTAAATTACAATTAAATATGGTCGTCACGAATTAGTGCCGGTCGTCCGCCGTTTCCGCAATTAAATGCGGTCGTTCGCGCACCGTCGGTAATTAAGTAAGCGGGTGTCACAGATGGCTACGGTTGTCTGGTCGTCCGATTAAATGGCGTGATGCAATTAAATGCGCGTAAGTCGCGAACGTCGATTAAATACGAATGCGTCCGGTCAAAATGCAGGTCGCCACGGTCGTCACCGGGCGTCCGGTCGTACCGGGTAAATGGCAGTGCGTCACGAGGTAAATGGCACGGTCGTCGCGGGTATGCGGCTCATGCAATTAAACCGATTAAACCGCAATTAGTAGCGGTAAATATGCGGGTTAATCACGGGTAAATGCAATTTATAAAAGTACTGGTCCGGTTCCGTGGCCGAACAAATACGGTCAGTTTGCAATTAAATTTCGGTCGCGTGGTCGGTGCGTAACTTGTCGTCGGTCGTATGCAGGCTGCAATTAATGCAGTCCTGGTCGGCGTCCGTCGTGGTACCGGTCACTGGTGAAATACCAGGCCGTCACGGTCGATACGGGTAAACACCGAATTAAATACAGCTGGGGTGGTCATCGTCTGAATTAAATGGCAATCGTCGTACGGTCGTGCAATTAAAGCCGCAATTAAATGGTCATCCACGTGCAGTGGCGTAAATCCCGCGAATTAAATGCAGATGCGGTCGTCATCCGGTGTCCTGGTCGCGGTCATCCTGGTGTTTGGTTGTCACGGTGTGGTGTTGAAGTAAAATTAAATATAGTGTGCAATAATACGGGTCGTGCAGTCGTCCGGCCATCGCGAGTCGTCGTGGCGGCGGGGTCGCGCACAATTAAATACCAGGTAAAACAATTAAATACAATTAAATCCGCGTCAGTCATTTAAGATTAAATGCACCAGTCGTCCGTCACGGTCGTGCACAGTGTCGTGATTAAGTCAAATGGTCGTCCGGCGTAAATACAATTCGTCTGGTCGTCGCTTGGGCGTCCCCAGGTGAGTCGTTTCGCGTCAATCCTGGTCGTCCCGGTCAATACAATGCATTTTGGTGTCACTGATGCGCCGGTGAAACTTACCGTTAAATCAATTAATCCGGTGTCGGTCGTCTGGTGGTCTTTGGTGATCGTCACCAATTATCCCCAGGCATCCCGGCGTCACCAATTAAATGCAAGTGGTTTTGTCGTCGGGTGATTTGTATGTCACAGGTCGTGGTCATCCGGTCGTCCCGATTAAATACCAGTGTCCGTACACGGTCATCTGGTGTCACAATTAAGTACCAGGTCGTTCGCCGTAAATGCAATTGAAGTACAGTCGTCAAATTAATGCAACAAATCGCGGGTAAATCGTCGGTGGCTGATTAATCCGGTTAAATGCAGTGGTAAGCCACCGCCATCCTACATTAATGGGTCCGCAATTATGCTGGTCGCCGGTTGTCCACAAATACGGGTAAATGCGATTAAATCGTGGTAAACCACCAGATGTTGCCGGTAAATAGTTAAATGGTCTGTGCGTCACAATAATGCGGTCGTACGCAAATTAATCCTCTTCGTATCCGGTCGCGTCGAATAAAGCGGTATCGCGTGTCGTTTCGTACGATTAAGTGGCATCTCTGGTAAATACAATCGCCACGGTCGTCCTGGTCATCCGATTAATGCAGTGCGAATTAAATATAGCGACGGTAAATACAGTCGTCTCGGTAAATAAAATTAAGCCACGGTCGTCCGGTGCGTCGGTCGTCACAGTGCATGCGATAAGTAAATTAATGCCGGTCAATACAATTAATCGTTTCAATTAATACCGATTAAATAAAATTAAATCCGAATTAAATAAAGCGCGTAAGTCAGGTAAATGGCTGGTGCGTCCTGGTCGTCGGCAATTAAATACCAGTCAATCCGGTCGGTAAATGTCCTGAATTAAATACCAAGTAAACCGGTCGGCCTGTTCGGTAGCGGCATCACAGTTGTCGCCGCGTAAATCGCGTAAATGCATACATGGTGTCCGAATTAAATGCGGTCGTTTCTGGTGCATCCGCAATTGCAATTAATACGGTGATGGTCGTAGCGAATTAAATACGCCCGTCGTGCCGGTGGTAGCTGGTCGTCACAGTGCAATTAAATACGATACAATTAAATGCGCCCAGCCGGTGTACAGTCGGTTGTCATGACGTAAGCGATTAGCCACCGGTCAAGGCGGTCCGATTAAATGGCGGTCGCCCGATTAAATAAATCAATGCAGATTTCCGGTGATTAAATACTGGTCGTCCCGGTCGTCTGAGTGCGTCCGCTGGTCATGTCGATACCAGTAAATACGATTCGGTCGGTGTCCTGAGGTCACCATGCTTGGTGCGTCCGCAGGGCAAAATTCGGTCGTCCTGGTCGTCTGGTAAATATAAATAAATACCAACAAATACACTTGATTAAATCAGTGCGTAGCTGGTCAGTCATCCACGGTCAAATGCAAATTAAATGCAATTAAATCCAGGGTCGCGTAAATCACATATTCGTCGATTAAATACAGGTCATGGTCGTCCGGTCGTCGCGTAAATCCTGCCCGTCGATCGTCTGGTGAAATACATTAAATGTCGCGGTCGTCTGGGTCGTCCGTTAAATTACGGTCGCTCTGGTCGTCGGTTGATCGCCCGGTCACGAGTCATAATAAATCCTGATCGTAATGATCATCGGGTCAATCCTGGTCGTCCCACTCGTCCTGGTCGTCCTGGTCATCCCGCCATTCCTGGTCGTCACGGTCTTCGGCACCGTCTCTGGTCGTCGCTTGTCGGTCGGCCCTGGTCATCGGTCATCCTGGTGATCCTGGATCATTAAATCCTGGTATCTGGTCGCCGACGCACAGTCGTCGGTCGTTTTGTCGTCCTGGTCGTCCTGGTCGTCTGATCCGTCACCAATCACAATCGTAAATCCGCAATTCGTACATCGGTCGTACCGAATCGGTCGTCGCCGTTAAATACAGTGGGTACCTGGTCGCCGTGGTCGGTGCGTCGCGGTGGTCGTGGTCGTCGGTCTGGTCATGCGGTCGTGCTGTCCCTGGTCATGTGTGTCGTCCGGGTCGTCCGGTACGCGTCTGAATTAAATACGTTGTCCGGGGTCATCCGACTGCGGCCACGTCCGGTCGTACAGTAAGCCGCAATTAAATGGGTCACCGGTATTAAATTCGCAAATACCGGTCATTGCGGTCTGGCGTAATGCTCTGGGTCGTCCGGGTGTGGTGTGCAGTCGCCATTAAATACAGTGCGTCCTGGTGGTCGTCGCAATTGCAGACCGGGTCCGTCGTGCAATTAAATGCAATTAAATGCGGTCTTTGCATGGTTGTACCGGTCATGGTTTCTGAATTAAATACTGGTCATTGGTCCGCCGTATACGGATAACCGGTCGTCACCGGTGTGTCTGGTCGCGTCACGGATGCGTCGTAAATACAGGTCATCCGCTGGTCGCGGTGTTACAGTGCGTCGCGGTCATGGGGTACAGTGCGATGCGGTACAATTATACCATGCGGTCACGTCGTTGCTGGTCATTAAAGTTGATTAAATGCGGTGATACTGATCCTTCGTGCCTGGTCGTCCGGTCGTCCGGGCGTGTGCGCTGGTCGTCTCTGGTCGTTTCCTGATGGTACAGTCGTACCGTTAAATACAGAATTAAATGCAAATTAATCATGATTTGGCAGGTCGTCCGGTCATATACGGTGTCGGTAGTCCTGGCGTACCGAATTATTACCAGTTGCCGGTCGTACACCAGTGCGGTCGTGCGGCAATTAGTCACCGTGCGTCTGGTCGTCTGTATGCGGTCCGGTCGTGGTCATCCGGTCGTCGCCTGTTGTCCTGGTTACTGGTCGTCGCAATTAGTCCTGGTCGTCTCGATTAATATGTGCGTGCGAATTAAATACCGATTAAGTGCGTCCTGGTACCAATTAAGTAAATTAAATCGATGGTAAATCGCCCGGGTCATTCCGGTCGTACGCTTGTTCGTCGCCGTAAATACAATAAATCTCGTCATGCGGTCGTCCTGGTCAATCTGTACAGGTAAATATCAGTGCCGGTGTCTGGTACAGTGCGTCGGTGGTAGAAATTAAATACTGGTAGGTCGTCATTCCGGTCGTCCTGGTGTCACGATTAAATGCAATTAACCGGTTAAATACATGCAATTAAACCGCAAAATTAATATACGAATTAAATGCGGTCGAACAATTAAATGCAATTAAATGTCGCGATTAAATACAGGTGCGGTCACCAGTGCGTACACCGTGGTAAAATACGGTCGTCACAATGATCGCCTGGTCGTCGGTGCGGCCTGGTCGCCGGTGGTCTGGTCGCAATTAAATACGGTGTAAATACAGTGCTGGTAATCGCCCGTGTTCCGTCACGGTCGGTCTGGTCGTCCTGGTCGTCACAATTAAATACGAATTAAGTAAATGATTTGACTTACGTGCAAATTTACGAATAAACGGTCGTGGCGAGTTGTCCTAAATCTGGGTCGCCGGGTAAACGTCTTGCTGATTCGTTAATCCCGGTCATCACAAGGCGTTCGTTATTTAAATCGTCTGGTCGTTCCATGCGGGTCGTCGATTAAATACAAGCGGTCGTCGATTAAATGCGCCCGGTGTCGGGTTCCGTATGACGCCTGGTGATTAAATGCAATTAAATCGTGATCATCCGTACAAATGTGGTCATCTTGGTCGTCACAATTAAATGCACCAATTGAAATGCGCTGGTGGGTGCAAGTGCGTCCGGTCGTCGCCCTGGTCGTCTTTTGGTCGATCGCCCGGTAAATACAGGTCGTCGCCCGGTCGTCGTCCTTACACCAGTAAATACAATTAATACAGATGTCACGGTAAATGCAATTCATTTCGTACCATTAAATATGGGTCGTCCCGGTCGTTTCCGCAGGTATTAATAAATTAAATACGTTATTAGGTAGTAAAGGCGTCTTGGTGTGCCCGATTAAACGGGTCATGCGATTAAATGCAATTAAATGCAATTCGGTCGTACGGTGCGTAAATTAAATACAGTCGTATACAATTAAATACGGTCGTTTCGAGTAAATACAGTCGTCCGCGCCGATTAAATACGGTCGTACAATTAAATACAATTAATCACCGGTCGTAGTAATGCGGTGTTTCCACAATCTTTAATATACGGGTCAATCCGGTCATCGCGAATTAATACGGTCGTAGCGGTTCGTCGCGGTAAATGCAATTATACGAAGAATTGGATTAAATACAATTAAATAGTGCGATTAATGCAGGTCAAAATCGGCCGGTAAGTGTAAATAAACCAAATTAAGCCGGTGCCGTCAAGCGGTCGTACAATTAAATCCGGTCACGGTGTGATTAAATACAGTTAAATGCCCGTGGTGGTAGTGGTCCTGGTCGTCTGAATTAAGCCGGTCGTACAATTAAAATCCACGGGAATTAAATCGCGTATGGGTGATACAGGTCGTCACGGGTCGTCGTAAATGCATACAGTAAATGCAATTAATGTGGCTGGTCGTCGGTTGTCAGGTGAGCAGTCATCGGTCGTCACAGTGCAATTAAATACCGTAATTAAATGCAATTAAATACGGAATTAAATACGTCAATTAAATGCAATTAAATACGGGTCGTCACGTCCGTCGGTGCAGGTAAATATTCCAGTCTGGTCACCGGGGTTGAAACCAGATTATCTGGCGTACCGTGATTTGTTTATAGGTAAATGTCGTCGGTACATACGTCTGGTCAATTAAGCGCTGGTTGCCTGGTCGTCTGGTCATCCCGGTGCAAAATTAAATTACTGGTCGTCAGCGTCATGCCAGTCTTAATCTGGCGTAAATCCTGGTCCTTGCGCGTGGTCATCCCGGTTGTCGTGTACACGGTCGTCGCTTTGGTCGTCGGTCGTCACTAGCCAGGTCGTCTGGTCGTTTCCGGTCGTCGCGTCAATTTCGATGGTCAAATGTAAATCTGTCGTCCCAGTGCAGGTCATCGGCGGGTAAATACAATCGGTCATGCCCGGTCATGCCAGTGCTCATCGTCTGTCCCGGTCGTCCCTGAATTAATGCATACCAGTGTGCACCGCCATCGTCTGGTCTGATCATTCCTGGTTACCTGGTGTCCTGGTCGTCTCGCCACCAGTGATTCGCCACCTGGTCGTCCGGTCGTCCTGGTCCGTGATTAAATGGTCCGTGTACAATCCCCGGTAAATCCTGGTTCTGGTCGTCGACGTCGTCTGGTCGCTGATTACAGTCATTTAATTCGCCCGTATACAGTAAATGCAATTAAGCCATCCTGGTCGTCGATTCATTGTCGTTTCTGGTCATCCTGGTCGTCCCGTGGTCTGGTCGTAAATTAAATAGATATGTTCACGATTTCATCCTCCACGGTCGTCCTGGTGATACCGTGCGGTCGTCGCCTGTGCATGCGGTCGTGCCCGGTCGTCACAATTAAATCCTGGTCGTCCCGTCATCACAATTAAGTGGTCGTCCGGTCGTCGGGTCATCCGGTCGATCGTCCTGGTCTCCCTGTCGTCCTGGTCGTCCTGGTCGTCGCCCGGGTCATCCCGTCAATGTCTGGTCCTGGTCGTCGGTCGTCCTGTTGGTCTGGGTCGTCTCGGTCGTTTAATCCTATTATCTGGTGAATCCCTGATAAATACAGGTCGTCGTCGTCACTGGTCATCGGTGTCCTGGTCGTCGATCGTCCACCTGGTCGTGGTCATCCGGTCGTCCCCATGCTCATTTGCGTCGTCCTGGTCAATGCAATTAAATATACAGATTTGGCCCGGTCACATCCGGTCATCCGGTCATGTGGGTAATCGGTGGATCCCGGTTGTCCAGTCGTCGTCGTCATCCTGTCGCCTGAGCGTGGTCATCCTGGTCGTCCGGTCGCGTAAATACTGGTGCCGGTCAGATTAAGTGTGGTCGTCCCTGGCGCTGGTCGTCATATAAGCATGCCTGGTACATGCGTTCCGGTTGTCGTCCGCAATTAGTCTAAATCCTATAAATACCAATTAAATCATGCGGTCGTCTGGTGATTTTCGCGTACTGGTGTCCTGGTCACCGGGTCGCCGGTCGTCTGGTCCGGGTCGTCTGATCGGGTAATTGGTCCGGTCGTCTCTGGTCGTCCATAATCCTGGTCGTAAATACAGTGGTCGTCCTGGTCCGAGTCGTCCATAACAGTCGCCAGTCGCGTAAATTAAAGTGTCCTGGTCGTCCGGTGTCCCAATGCTACGGTCGTCACAGCCGTGAAATCTGGTGGTCCGGTCGCCGGCCTACTGATCTGCGTGCATACCAGGTCGTCGGTTATCTCATCGTCATGAGCCTGTCATCCTATTACATGCAATAAAGTGCATCCCGGTCAGTCGTCCTGGTCTCGTCGCTAATTCGCCCGTAAATCATTAGTCTGCGGTCAAGCGGCCGGTCGTCCGTAATCTCTGGGGTCGGCGCAATTCCTGGTCAATACAATTAATCGCTGGTCATGCCGCCGGTCATGGTCCTGGTCATCCTGGTCCTGTCGCTGGTCATCGTCCGTGGTCATCCCCGGATCCTTGGCATCCTGGTCGTCCTGGTCATCGGTCGTCGCCCATCGTCCTGGTCGTCACGGTCATGCTGGTCGTCCTGGTCGGTTGCATCGTCTGGTCGTTTCTGTCGTCGTCATCCGGGTCAGCGCTGAATTAAATCGGTCGTCGGGCGGTGCGTCGCTGGACGTAAAATGATGTCGTCGTCCTCTGGTCATCGCGTCGTTACCAGGTCGTCGTCATTCGGTCCGGTCGGTCAAGTCCGGGTCCCGTCATCCTGTGGTTCGCTGGTCATTTATCCCTGGTCGTCCTGGTCATCTGGTCGTACGGTCGTCCTGGTCGTCGGTCGTCCTGGTCGTCCTGGTCGTCCTGGTCGTCGGTCGTCGGTCGTCCTGGTCGTCCTGGTGTCCTGGTCGTCGGTCGTCCCTGGTCGTCCCTGGTCATCCTGGTCGTCCTGGTCGTCGGTCATCGTCATGGTCGTCCGGTCGTCCGGTGTGTCTTCCTGGTCATCGGTCAATTAATCCTGGTGTCTGGTCGTCCTGGTTCCTGGTCGGTCCATGTCCTGGTCCTGGTCGTCCTGGTCGTCGGTCGTCCGTGGTCATTAAGTCCTGGTCATCTGGTCTGCGGTCGCCTGGTGCCGGTCGTGTGGTCGTCGGTCATGCAGTCGTCGTACAGTCGTGTCGTAAATGCCTGGTCGTCGGTCCTGGTGTCCATGGTCATGCGTCGGTCGTCCGGTCGTCTGGTCGTCGGTGTCTGGTCGTCCTGTCATGCCGGTCGTCTGGTCCCGGTCATCCTGGTCGCAGTCACAGATTAAATCGTCCTGCGGTCATCATCCTGGTCGTCCTGGTCATCCGGTCGTCATCCCTGGTCATTGTCGATTATAATTTCGGTGCCGGTCGCATCGGTCGTCCTGGTCGTCGTCGTCACCCAGTCGCGCTTGTGCGGGTCTGTCATCGGGTCGTTAAATCCTGTCATCCAGTGTCAATCGTGTTTGGTGCGTCCTGGTCATCGCCTGGTCGTCCGGGTCGTCACAATAATCCAATTAAATCGGTCGTCTGGTTGTCCTGGTGGTCAGTGGTCGATTCCTGGTCGTCGCGGAAATGACGTCGCCCGTCGGTCGTCGTCCACGGTCGTCGCGTCAGTCCTGGTCATCCCGGTCGGTCTGTGGTCGTCCTGATGCCGGTCGTCTGGTCGTCCTGGTGATCCTGGTCGTCCCTGGTCGTAACAGGTCGTCCTGGTCATTCGGTCGTCCCGATTAAATCCTGGTCGTGCCGGTCGCTCCGGTCGTCCTGGTCCGTACAAAAATCCTCGCGGCGGTCATCACTGGTCGTCATACGATAAAGTCATCGCGGTCGTCACTGGAAATGCGGCTGGTCGTCTTAAATACGATTAAATCCTCGGTCGTCGTCATGAGTCGTCCTGGTCGTCCAAAATGTCCTGGTCGTCGTCCCATCAATCCCGGTCGTCCTGGTCGTCTCGTCCCTGGTCTGGTCGTAAATCCTGGTCATCCTGGTCATCCTGGTAAATGCCGGTCGTCACCGTGCGATTATCATGGCTGCACGTCTGTCCTAGTCGTCTGGTCGTCGTCCGATTAAATGGTCGGAATTAATCCTGGTGTGGTCGTGGTCATGCCGGTGCCATGCCGTGTTTGGTCGTCCGCGTGGGTACCTCGTCTCCTTGGTCATCCCGTCGTCCTGAGTGTCGATGATTAAATCAATTAAATGGCTGGTAAACGCCGGGTCGTCTGGTCGTCTGGTTGTCCGCGGTCGTCCTGGGTCGCCGTCGTCGGTCGATTAAATGTTTGCGTCCCGGTCGTCCCTCGTCCTGGTCGTCCGGGTCATCCTGGTGGTCGGTCCGCCCATCTTCCTGGTCGTCCGGTGACCAGGGGTATACGTTGTCGCTCGCCCGGTCAATTAAGTCCGGTCGTCACTCAGCCCAGGTCGTCTCGCTTGGTCATGGAATTAAATCCTGGTCGGTCCTGGTCGTCCCGGTCAGCCACCAGGTCGTCGTCGGATTAATACAAGTCGTCAGGCATCCCGGTTATCCTGGTCGTCCTGGTGCCGTCGGTCGCCGTCATCCCTGGTCGTCCCTGGTCTGGTCGTCGTTTGTGGTAAATCCTCGTCGCCGTCCAGATTAAATCGCCGGGTCATCCCGGTCAATTAAATGCGATTAAATCGCGGCGGTCAATTAATACTGGTCGTCAGTCAAATCGCCGCACACTTGTCCTCGCCCGGTCGTCCTAAGCCGTCGGTAAATGTCCTGGCCGCCAACGGTCGTGGTCGTCGGTCCTACTGGTCGTCCTGGTCGTTTTGGTCAATTGTCTGGTCGTCTGGTCGTCTCGGTCGTCACAGATCATCATCTGGTCATTGGTCATCCTGGTCATTGGTGGTCGTCGGTCGTCCTGGTCGTCCAATTGTCCTGGTCGTCTGGTCGTCCCGGTCGCCCTAAAATTAAAGGTACAAATTAAATCCGGTCATTTCTGGTAATCCTGGTCGATACGGTCGTCGTCGTCACCGCGGATAAATACAGGTCGTGCCTGGTCGTCTGGTCGTCGTCTGGTCGTAAAACTGGTCGTCGTCGTCCGGTTGTCCTGGTCAATCGTCGCAGATTAAATGGGTCGTCATGGTGCCTGGTCGTGCGGTCTGGTTGTCGGTCATCCTGGTCGTCGGTCGTTCCTGGTCGTCGCCGGGTGGCCGCGCGTAAATACTGGTCGTCTGGTCTTTACTCGGTCATAACCTGGTCGTCCCGGTAGCATTTCCGTGATTAAATGGTCATCCCTGTTGGCCGTTAAATGGTCGTCGTAAATCCACAATTCAGGTGTACGGTCGTCCTGGTCGTCACGTCGAAAATATTGATAAATCGTCGGTCGTCATCGGTCGTCGCCGTCATCACGGTAAATCGCCCGGGTGGTCCCGGTCATCTGTTCCGTCGTCCTGGTCGTCACCGCGTAAAACCGTCCTGGTCGCTCAATGATGTCGCCCTGGGTCGTCGTTACGTCGGTCATCGTCTGGTCGTACCTTGGTCGTAGCGGTGTCCTGGTCGCCCTTCGATCTTCCTGGTCGTCGTGGTCGTCCTGGCCAATTCCAGGTCGTCGTCAAATTGCTGTCTGGTCATGCGGCTCGTCCTGGTCATCCTGGTCGTCGGTCGTCCTTGGTCGTCCGACAGTCGTCTGGTCATGCCGGTTGATCTGGTGTCTTGTCTTTTGGTCATCGGTCGTCCTGGTCGTGCGGTCGTACCTGGTCATCCCTGGTCGGCGGTGGTAAAAAATTAAATCGCGTCGTCTGCCGTCGTCATCCTGGCGGTCCCTGGTCAATCTGAATTAAATACAAATCGTGGGCACAGGTCGTCTGGTGATGCAATTAAATACCGGTCGTCCGGTCGGTCGCGCTGATTATTCCCGGTAATCGTCCTGGTCGTCCCTGGTCGTCCTCATCGTCGCTGGCAGCGTCGTCCTGAATTAATCCTGGTCGTCAGTGGTGTCCTGGTCGTCCTGATACGGTCGTCCTGGGTCCCGTCGGTCGCAAACAATCGTCGTTAAATGGTGACAGGTCATGTCTGTCGTCACTGGTAAGCCTGGTCACAATTAAGAACCATGCAATTAAATACGGTCGTAAATGGTCGTCCTGGTCGTCCGGTCGTGCGGGTAATCCTGGTCCGGTCTGAATTAAATCGCCTGCGTCAATTAATGGTCGTCCTGGTGGTCACCAGTCGCCGGTCGTGTGCTGAATGCGTCACAATACAATCGGTGCGTCCCATAAATGCAATTAATCTGGTCATCGCTGGTCGTCTGGTCCATCCTCGGTCGTCCTGGTGTCATCCATAAATCCAGGTCGTCGCGGTTACAGTCGTCCTGGTCGTCTGGTCATGCGGTCGTCGTCCCGGCATCGGTCGTCCTGGTGTCTGGTCATTTCTGGTGGTCATCCTGTCGTCTCCATCCATTAAATCCGTTGGTCAGCGTCCTGGTCGTCCCGGTGTCGTCTGGTCGGCGCGCAGTAAATGCAATCGTCCTGGTCGTCTGGTCGTCCCTGGTCGCCGTATTTGGTAATCCTGGTCCGTCCCGGTCATCCCGTCCTGGGTCGGTCGCGGTTAAGCGTCGTCGCTGGTCATCTGGTCAGTTGTCCTGGTCGTCGGTCAAATGCGGTCGTCTGGTCGTCCCGTGGTCGTCTAATAATCCTGGTCATCCTGATAAATCCTGGTTGTGCGGTCGTCCTGGTCAGTCATCAGTCCCGTGTACGGTCGAATTAAATCCTGGTCGTCGTCCACGGTCATCCCTAGTTCCTGGTCGTCAGATGGCCGGTCGTTATCCTGGTCGTCCGGTGTCATCGGTCTGCCATCCTGGTCGTCACTGGGTCGTGCATTACCGCCATTGGTCATCTGGTGATCCTGGTCTTCCCGTCATCCGCTGTCGTCCTGGTCGTCAAGTCCTGGTCATCCTGGTCGTCCTGGGTCATCCTGGTCATTCTCGGTCATCTCTGTCAACTCGTCATCTTTGGTCATCGCCGTAAATCCTGGTCACCAGTCGTCGTCAAATCGTCCTGGTCCTGGTCATCCTGGTTCTCGTCCCTGGTCATCCTCATCCTGGTCATCCCAGTCATCCCTGGTCGTCCCTGGTCGTCTGGTGTCCCGGTTGTCCCTGGTCCTGGTCATTTCCGGTTGTCCTGGTCGTCGTTCGGTCCGTCGTGGTCGTAAATCCCTGGTCGATCTGATCGTCCGTGTAGTCACATCCCTGGTCTCCTTGGTCATCCCTAGTGGATCATCTCTGGTTGTCCTGGTCGTCCTGGTCTCGGTCGTCCCTGGTCGTCTGGTTATCTATTTCGTGTCCTGGTCATCCTAGTCATCCTGCGGTCATTTTTAAAAATTCGTCAGCCCACCACTGGTCTTTGGATCGTCCGGTCCGTCGGTCTGTGCCGTGGCGGTCGTCCTGGTCGTCGGTCAAATCTCCGGTCCTGGTCGGTCATCCTGGTCGTCCTGGTTAAATCCTGGTCGTCCCGGTCATCCCGGTCGTCCTGGTCGTCACTGGTCGTCCCTGGTCTCCCTGGTCATCCCGGTCGTCGGTCGTCGGTCGTCGGTCGTCGGTCGTCGGTCGTCGGTCGTCCCGGTCATCCCTGGTGCATCCCTGGTCACTTTAGGTCGTCCTGGTCGTCGGTCGTCCCTGGTCGTCTGGTCGTCCTGGTCATCGGTCGTCCCGTCGTCCCTGGTCGTCCCTGGTCGTCCTGGTCGTCGGTCGTCCTGGTCATCCTGGTCGTCCTGGTCGTTCCTGGTCGTCGGTCGTCGGTCGTCCTGGTCGTCCTGGTCGATCCTGGTCGTCGGTCGTCGGTCGTCATGATCTGGGTCGTCCTGGTCCATCCCTGGTCGTCCCTGTCGTCCCTGGTCGTCTGGTCATCCCGGTCGTCCCTGGTCGTCCCTGGTCGTCCTGGTCGTCTGGTCGTCCCTAAGGTCGTCGGTCGTCCTGGTCGTCCCTGGTCCCTGGTCCCCTGGTCGTCCTGGTCGTCCCACGGTCAAATCTGGTCGTCCTGGTCGTCCTGGTCGTCATGCCTGGTCGTCATGGTCATCGGTCATCCTGGTGTCGTCACTAGTGCATCCGGTCGTATGGTCGTCACAGGGTCATCCACTGGTCATGGTCGTCCGGGTAAATCCTGCATCTGTTCCGGTCCGTCATGGTCGTCTGGTCGTCCTGGTAGTCACGAGTCGGATCGTACCTGGTCATCGTCTGGTCATTCCTGGTTGTCCTGGTCGTCGGCCGCTGGGTCATCTTTGGTCGCGGTCGTTGTCCGTTCGTCGGTCATCCTGGTCATGCCAGTCATCCTAACGTCGGGTCGTCGTGGTCGTCTAAATCCTGGTGTCATCTGGTCGTCCTGGGTCATCGGTCCGATAAATCCCCGGTCGTCCTAGTCATCCCGTCTTCCTGGTCGTCTGGTCGTCTGTCGTCGTTGATCGTCACTTTTGTCCTGGTCGTCGATTAAATGCAGGGTCGTACATGGTCATGGGTCCGTCATCCTTGGTCATCCCTAGTCATCTTGGTCATCCAGGTCGTCCTCGTGCGTCGGTAGTTTGTCATCCTGGTCGTCGGTCGTGGCCCGGGCGTCTCGGTCGTCCTGGGTGTCATTCCCTGGTATCACCGGGTCCGGTCATCCTGGTCATCTGGTGGTCCTGGTCATTCCTGGTAAATATGGTAATGGTCGTCGCCCAGGTCGTCCCGGTTGTCCTGGTCCGGTCTGGTGAGTCGTCGCCCATGGGTTTCTGGTCATCCTGGTCGTCCTGGTCGTCGGTCGTCGGTCGTCTGGTCATGCGATGGTGTCCTGGTCGTCGGATCGTCGCGGTCCAATACATCTGGTAAATCGCGTAAATCCTGGTCAAATCATGCCCCGGTCGATGTGACGTCGGGGTCATCCGTCGCGGTCGTCGGCAATTAATCCCGGTGTCCTTGGTCGTCCTGGTAGTCGCGGTCGTCATGGTCGTGGTCGTCCCTTGGTCTGGTCATCCGGTAATCCCGTCGGTGTCCTCGTCGTCGGTCGGTCGCCCTGGTGTCTGGTTGTCCGTGGTCACCTGAATACGTCGTCCTGGTCGTGGTCGTCTCGCCGGTCGGATCATTATCCTGGTCGTCCACGGTCGGTATCCTGGACGTCGGTCGTCGCCCCCGATAAATCGGTCGTCCCTGGTTGCGGATACAGTTGTCCCCGGTCGTCGCAGATTAAATCCCGCGGCTGGTCGTCTGGTGATCCTTGGTCGTCAGTCGTCACGGGTCGTATGCTAATTAAATCCTGGGAAACCATGGTCACCAGTCGTCACTCCTCCTGGTCGTCGCATGTCCCAGTCATCCCTGGTCGTCCCCGGTCATCCTGGTCGTCGCCAGGTATCATACTGGTCATCACTGGTCAAACCCTGGACTTGGTCGGTCATCACCGTCCTGGTGGTCATTGGTGTCGGTCTGGGAGTCTAGCCATCGGTCGTCCTGGTGTCCTGTTCGTCTCGCCGTCCCGTGGTCGTTCTGGTGTCCGAACTGGTCGTCGCGATTATCGCTGGTTTCCGTCGGTCATCCGGTCACTGATCACGGTCCGCGTCCTGGTGGGCCTGGCCGAAATACCGCAGACCCGTTCGTCCGTTTCGTCTAGTCGTCCCGGGTTCAAATCTCGTAGTGTTCCTAGTAATCCCAATAATCTGACGTCTTTGGTCATCGGTTGTCTGTTATATAATCCCTCTGGTCGGTATATTTCCTACTGCGGTACTATGATTAAATTCGTGCGATTCGAAGATCTTAAATCGATAGTAAACCTCGCGGTCTACAATTAACTCCTTTTCTTACTTTTCCGGTTTTGGTCATACCAGTTTTTGCAGTCATGCAGGATGTCATACCTTCCCTAGATTCTTTTCGTCTGTAGCTCGCCCGGTAAAATTGTGAATTGTCAGCCTTTCCATCAGCGGTGTCCTAGTTTTTTTTTCCTGTAGTGTCCTGGCTCAATGGCTGGTCATTTCAGTTTAAATACCCGGTGTCTATCATTTCCGGTTATACTGGTCATCCTGGTCATCCCTAAATCCTGGTCATTGGTCCGTCTGGCTCATCCTGGACATGCCTGGTTGATTACTGGTCTGCTGTCCTGCTAAATACCTTAAATCCTTGAGTCTCCTGATGTCTGGTCGTCCGTCTGGTCATCCGGGTATCCTGGCCATCCGGTGTCCCGTCATTCCTGGTCGTGCCGTCTGGTCATCCCAGTCACCCGGTCATCCTCGCTTCATCCTGATAAACATCCTAGTCCGTCACAGTAAATACAGTCATCCTGTCCTGGTCATGCCAGTCATCCTGGTACGTGTGGTCGTCCTGGTCATTCGCGGTTTCATCCTGGTCAGCCCTGGTCATCCCAACCGCCGTCATCCCAGTCGTCCTGTCGTCCCTAGTCGAGTCAGCGTAAATCCATAAATTAACAGGATCATTTGTATTACCCGGTCGTCCTGGTCGTCCCGATCGTCCTGATCATCCCGGTCGATTGTAGTCATCCTGTTCCCAGTCCTGTCATCCTGGTCATGCCATTAAGATGGTTGGCTTGATCCTGGTCCTCGTCATCGGTCATCCTGGTCGTCCTGGTCATCGGTCGTCCTGGTCAATCCTGATCGTGGTCAGTGCGTCTGGGTCCGTCTCCCCGGTCAACCGCTGGTCGCCCGTCTCTCGGCGGGTCAGATCATCGGTCGTCCCAGTATTACGCAGATGTCCTGGTCATCCCTTGTGCGGTCATCCCCTGGTCGTGCACAATTGTCCGCCATCCTGAATATTTTCGGGTCATCCCGCTCGCGTGGTCGTGGCTGGTTTTGCCGGTCGTCGTGGTCGTCGGCGAATTAAACCACGAATTAATGCTCTGGTTGTCCTGGTCTTTGGTCATCCTGGTGTCGGTCAATCTGGTGACGTTGGTCCCCAGGTATCCCTTCATCCCGGTTTTTCAATTAAATACAGTCATCCTAGTGTCCTGATCGTCGCTTGTCATCCCAGTGTCGCTTTTCGTCCCAGTCATTCGTAATTAAATGTAGTCGTCATGGTCATTTCAGTTGTCCTAGTTGTCCTTGGTCATCCCGTCATCCTGGAGTCGTCATGGTCATACCGGTCATTACTGGTCATAACGGTCGTCATGAGTCGTCATGGTCGATTCGATTCTTTGATGGTCATCCCTGCTCGCCTTGGTCGTCCTCGTCATTCCTGGTTGTCTGGTCGTTCCTGGTCGTCCTGAATCGTCCTGGTCGTCCCGGTCGTAGTCGTCCTGAATCGTCATTTCGTCATGGTCGTCCTGGTCGTCACTCGTCCTGGTCGTCGGTCACCCTGGTCATCCCGTTTTCGTCCTGGTCGTCGCCCGGGTCGGCGCATAAATCCTGGTCCGTTACGCCGTCCATATCGTGGTCGTCCTGGTCGTTTTGGTCGTCCTGGTCGTCCCTGGTTGCGGTCGTCGGTCATCGCTATAAATCGCTGGTCGTCGGTTGTCCGTGGTCGTCCCAGTCGTCCTGGTCATCCCTGGTCGTCTTGGTTGTCCGTGATCGTTCTGGTCTTCGTCCCGGTCATCTCTGGTCGTCTCGGTCACCTGGTAATCCTGGTCGTCCTGGTCATCCTGGTCGTCATGGTCGTCCTGGTCGTCTCTGGTGTTCTTAATCATTCCAGCCGTCCTGGTCGTCCCGGTCATCCTGGTGCCCCGGTCGTTCCTGGTCGTCTGGTTGTTCGCGTAAGTATAACAGCCAATCGTCGTGGGTACCGCAATAAATACCGATGCTGGTCGTCCGCAATAAGTCGGTCGTCTTTGTCGTCCTGGTCATGCTGGTCGTCGGTCATGCTCTGCCATCCTGAGTCGACCGGTCACTGGTCAGCGCTGGTCGTCTGGTCGTTTCCTGGGCGCCGCCAAAACGTCCGGGTCGTCTCTTCAGGCCCTGGCCGTCGGTCGTCTGGTCGTCGCGGTCGTCGCGGTCGTTCCGGTCGTCCTGGTCGTTCTGTGGTCGGCGGTGATACGATTCGTCGTAATTAAATGCGGTCGATCTGGTCGTCTACCGTTAATTACAGATCGTCGCAATCAGCCACCGGTCGTCACCGGATGTTTTATCGATCGTCCTGAATAAATGCGATTAAATCTCGGTCGTTTCTGGTCGTCCATTCGCGGTTGTCCTGAATCGTCACAATTAATCCGGATTTTCAGATTAATCCGGATCGTCGCAGTCGTCGCGGGTCGTCGGTTGTCCTGGTCGTCCCAGTCGTCCCTGGTCGTCCTGGTCGTCTTGTTTGTCCGTAGTCGTTTCTGGTCATCCCATTGATCGGTCGTCGGTCACTGGTCGTCCCTGGTCGTCGTGATCGTCCCGGGTCGTCACCGATAATCATAGTCCCTTTGATCGTTTCTTGGTCGCGTCCTGATATACAGTCATTCTTGGTCATTTCAGCCGTCCTGAGTCGTCTGGTCGTCCCCGGTCGTCGATAATCCTGGTCATCCCTGGTCATCCTGGTCGTCCTGGTCAATCCTTGGTCTTCTCCGGTCGTCCTGGTCATCTCGGTCATTTCTGGTCATCGCGGTCATGCGGTCATCACCAGTCGTCCCAGGTGTCCTGGTCCTCCTGTTCCTCCTGGTTCTGCCTGGTCGTCGGTCGTGCCGGTCGTCGATGATCGTTCCTGGTCATCGCGGTAATCCCTGGTCACCCCGGGCATCCTGGTCGTCACAATGTCACGGTTGTCCTGGTTTTGGTCGTATCGTCCCGGTCGTCCTGGTCGTCTGGTTTGTCCGCGTGTCTGAATCGTCCTGCTGGCCGGTCGTCTGGTGATTCGTCCTGGTGATCACTGGTCGTCGCGTCGTCCCGGTCGTCTTGGTCGTCGCTGGTCGTCGGTCGTACTCTGCCGTCCTGATCGTCGGTCGCCTGGTCGTGCCTGGTCGTCTGGTCGTTCGCGGACGTCAGCCAAACGTCCGGGTCGTCGCTTTAGTCCTGGCCATCCCGGTCTCTCTGGTCGTCTGGTCATCCTTGGTCATCCTTGGTCGACGGTCATCCTTACTCATTCTCGCATCCCAGTAGTCCCGGTCGTCAGCGTCATCCCGGTCATTTCTGTCGTCCCTAGTCATCCCGCAGATGTTGCTCAAATCGTCCCTGGCCGTCGGTCTTCTCGGTCGTTTCTGAGTCATCCTGGTTCGGTCATCCTTGGTCATCCTAATTCTTTCGTTGTCTGGGTGTCCCCGTCATCTTGGTCGTAGCTAGACATCCTGGTTATCTGGTCCTCCCTAGATCATCTGTGTTGGTCGTCCTCGTCGTCGGTCCGTCGCGGTCGTTCCTGGTGATTCGATGATCCAGTCATCCCTGGTCGTCGATGTCATCCTAGTCCTGGTCATTCCCTGGTCATGGATAAACTGGTCATCCCGTTCATCCCTGGTAATTGGTAATCGTCAGTCCAAGTCTGAATTAAATCCCGGTCGTCCTAATTAAATCCTGAATCGTCACTCAGTCATGTTGTTCGATCTCTGGTCGTCCTCTTCATTCCGGTCGTCGCCCGTCGTCCTGGTCCGTCTGATCGTCCTGGTCATCCGGACGTCCTGGTCGTCGTGGTCATTTGATACTTTCGGTTGTCCGTAGTCTCTGGTCAATCTGGTCACGTCCTGGTCGTTCCTGAGTCCATGGCTGTCCCTGGTCATCCTGGTCATCGGTCGTCCTAGTCGTCCCGTGATCCTGGTCATCTTGCCATCTGGTCGTCTCGTAATCATCTCAGTTGTTCCTGGCCATCTGGTCGTCGTTGTCCTGGTCGCCATGATAAATCCTGGTCATCCCCGGTCATCCATGGTCATTCTGGTCGTCGGTGATCCCAGTCCCAGGTCATCCCGGTCATCCCAGTAATCCTGGTCGTCCCAGTCATCCAGATTATTATTGGTCTCCTGGTTCATCCTTGTCGTCCTAGTCATCCCTAGTTGTTCCTGGTAGTCTTGGATGTCATTTGTCGTCTTAGTTGTCCCTGGTCGTCTCTGGTCATCCTGATCGTCTTTGGTCAGCCCTGGTCATCGCCCAGATCATCGATTAAATCCTGAATCATCCTGGTCGTCGCTTTGTCGTCCTGGTCGTCCTGGTCATTCTGGTCGATCCTCAAACGTTTCCTGGTCTCAATCCTTCATCGGTTGTCCCTGGTCGTCGGTCATCCTAATCGTCTCCGGTCAAATCTGGTCGTCGGTCATCCCTGGTCGTGTCGATTCGTTTGGTCGTCCCGGTCATCCCGGTCCCAGACGTCCTGGTCATCCTGCTCATCGCTGGCTGTCGTGTCGTCGGTCATCCCTGGCATCTTAGTCGTCGGTGTCTCTGGTCCTCCGCCGTCGTCGTGGTCGTCCCGGTCATCCCTGGTCGTCGGTCAACAATGGTCGTTCGCGTCGTCCCAGTAATCCAGTTGTCCCTAGTCGTCCTGGTCGTCCCAGGTCATCCCAGATGTCCTTGGTCCTCCCCGGTCATCCTGGTCATCTAGTCATTCCTGGTCATCCTGGTCATCCTTGATCATTTGGCATCCCTCCTCGTCCTTTTGTCATTCGGTCATCCTAGTCATCCAGTCATCTTCAAACGTCCCAGTCATCCTGGTCATCCTGGTCGTCCCTGGTCAATACTACTCCTGGTCATCCTGGTGTCCCTAGTCATCGGTCGCCCGTAGTCTTCGTGGTCATCCTGGTCATCTGGTCGTCCTGGTCATCTTAGTCATCCGCCAGATCGTCAGCCAAACATCCGTCAGTCAATCAGCGAATTAAATCTGGTCCTCTTCCTGGTCATCCTTGTCATCGGTCATCCGCGGGTCTTTGGTCATCGGTCGTCCCTGGTGCCCTGGTCAGTCCGGTATTATAGTCGTCTGGTCATCCCTATAATCACTGGTCGTCAGTATAAATCTGGTCGTCTAGGTCGTCCTGCTTATTGATCCTGGTCGTCGTGGTCATCCCCGGTCACTGGTCTTCCTTGTCATCCTAGTCGTCTTAGTCGTCCCTGGTCTGGTCGTCATAAACATCCTAATCAACCTGGTCATCCTGCTCTTCCTAGTCATCCTATTAATACTTAATCATCCCAATCGTCCAAGTCCTCCTGGTCATCCCAGTAACTTTGGTCATCCCAGTCATCCCTGTTCATCAATGGTCATCCCAATCATCCTGGTCATCTGGTCATCCTTGTCATCCAGTTATATCTGGTCCTCCCCGGTCATCCTAACCATCGCTGGTCGTCCCAGTCGTCCTTGTCGTCGCAGATTAATCCTGGTCATCACTGGTGATCATGGTCATCACCGTCATGTAAATCAATCCTAGCCGTCAGTCATCCCTGGTCATCCCTAGTCCTCGGGTCATCCTAATCATCCTGAGTCGTCGGTCATCCCTGGTCATCGGTCGTGTAGTTATTCGGTCATCCTAATTAAATCTAGTCACCTTGGTCAGCCTGGTCCTGGTCATCCGTACTCCTTCTAGTCGTCAGTGATCGCCCGTCGTTTCTATAATCGGTCGTCCCTCCGTCATCCTGGTGATCCTGGTTGTCGGTCGATCGATTCGTCCTGGGCGTCCCTGTCCTGGTCGTCCTGGTCGTCGGTCGTCTCTGCGCGGTGATCCTGAATTGGCCTAGTCGTCCCAAGGCTGTCCCGGACGTTCTTGTCATCCCAGTCATCCTAGTCCCAGTCGTCCCGTAATCCTAATTCATGCCTATAGAACGCTAGTCATCCCAGTCATCCTAGTCATCCCGGTCATCCTGGTCATCCCTAGTCATCCCAGTTATTCTGGTCCTTCCTAGCCCGTCCCTAGTCATCCAGTCATCCTGGTCATCCTGGTCATCCCTGGTGGTCCTGGTCATCTCTAATTGTCCTAGTCGTCCCAGTTATCCTAGATCCTTCTAGTGAAAATCCCTAGTCATGGTCATTCTAGTCATCTCTAGTCCGGATTCATCCTAGTGATCCCTGGTCGTCGTAGTCTTCCCTAGTCATCCCAGTCACGCTAGTCGTCGTGCATCTCAGTCGTTTCTAGTCAGCGGTCATCCCTGGTCATCTTGGTCGTCGCTGGTTATCGGTGTCGTCAGTCGTCCTTGCCATTTGGTCATCACTTGTCCTGATTATATGGCCATCCTGGTCATCGGTCGTCTGTGGTCGTTCCTGGTGTTCCCGTAATCAGTCGTCCCTGGTCATCCCACCAGTTGTTGCGTTCATCCTGGTCATCCCTGGTCACTGTCATCCTGTTGATCTCTGGTCGTTCTCACTCGTCGGTCGTCACCGCAATCGGCGTAATCCGGTCACCTCTGGTCGTCGGGTCGTCGATTGATAGATGGGTCCTGGTCATCCGGTCACTGGTCACGCTGTCGTCCTGGTCATCCTGGTCGTCCTAGTCGTCCCTAGTCTTCTTTGAACTTCCTGGTCGTCCTTAGAAGTCCCTGGTCATCCCCGGTCATCCCTGGTCATCCCAGTCACGTCCCTGGTCATCCAGTCATTCCTAGTTGTCCTAGTCATCCCTGGTCCTTGTCACTCATCCTGGTCATCCTGGTCATCTCAGTCATTTCTGGTCATCCCGTTAATTTCTAGTCCTCCTGATCATCGCTGGTTGTCAGTGTCATTCCAGTCATCCTAATAAATCATCGTCTCCCTTGTCTGGTCCTCCTGACAATCTGAATCGTCCCAGTTGTCCTAGATCATCCCAGTCAATCGTATAAACCTAATAATCCCAGTAATCCCAGTCATCTCTAATCATCCCAGTCATCCCAGATATTTCCAGTCCTTCAGGTCGTCATGGTCATCAGTTATCCTGATCATCCTTGTCATCCTAGTCATCCTAGTTAGCCTAAATGATCCTGGTCCTCATATCATCCTAGAGTGATCCTTAGTGATCCTAGTGGTCAGTCATCTAGTCGTCTTGATCATCCTAATGGTGTTGTAGTGTCCCTGGTCATGGGAACATCCCGGTCATCCTTGGTCATCCCGGTGTCCTATAGTCCTGGTCCTCCCGGTCACTGGTCATCCTGGTCGTCGCTG